TCGCCATTTGTCTCCTCCTCACTGTCCTACGTGGCCCATTTGCTACCCTCAGTGGCCCCATAGCTTCGTGTCCCCGCTGTCGCCCTTCGTGGCCTACTTCATGCCCTTCATGCCCCTGCTGTCGTTCTCTCTCGCTCTTGCTTTCGCTCGTCGTCGTCGTCGTCGCCGTCGTCTTCGACGTCGTCGTCGTCGTCGTCGTCGTCGTCGTCGTCGTCGTGGTCGGTCCCCTGTCCGTCCCTCTTTGGGTCGGGTCGACGGTCCGCGGCCGCCCCGCCGATCAGCGCTGCCGTTGGCCAGGCCGACGGTCCGCGGCCGCCCCGCCGCTTGCTGGGGCCCGGCCTGCAGGGAAGAAAGGTATACCCCCCAATAGGGGTTCGATCGAAGACGAAAGGGCGGGTATCGAGGGTTTGGGAAATACGCGTTATTGGACACTCGAGCATATAAGGGCGAACGGTCTTAAAATTATTGTTGTTGTTGTTGTTGTCCGCGGGGCCAGGGGCACATTTTGAGCATCAATATTTTCCCTGTCAATAAACAGTGTGCGAGAATCGAGGGGCACACTTTGAGGGAGAAAAACTGCATGCACCAGAGAGGGGGGCTCAACAATACTTATTCAGAAGTGAGAGGTCAACAACAGCAACGGACGGCAACCACAACAACAATCACATCAACAGCAGCAGCAATTATCATATGGCTGTTCGCTCTTATTTATAGGCGTGCTTTTCAGCACGTGTATCCCAAAGCCTCATTGCCCGCCCTTTTCGTGTTCGATCGCGCCCACGGGCCCTGAAACAGTGGAAGAGGGGACGGACTGAATGGGGAGGGGGAAGGATGGAACATGGGATTCGAAGGAGAGGGGGCCTGGCCATGAACAGCAAACACGTGGCAGAACCAGACGGGCTCATCGGGCAGGTAGACCCTAACGGGCGGGCCGGGAAGGCGGGCCCAGGCGGCCAGGTCGAACAGGCGGGTTGCTGAAGCGTGCGTCGTGCATGAACCGTGAGGGAACCTCAAGCGATAGCGCGATTCCCTGGTAAAGCGTGACATAAACCAGAACGCGAGAGCGTGATTCTTTATTGTCGAGGGCGCGGCGTTTGAAAAAAACATGTGATGAAGTCCCACGCGGGAGCGCGATTCTCGCGCTTCTACTGAAGATTCGGCTTCCCTGCTCCATAGTGCCTGTCCGCTAAAATGCAGCATGCAATGTCGGAGGTCTGCACCGATGCTTCCCTGGCGCGCTCCGCGTGCCAAGGGCGGTCCGAGAGCCCGCGGCGGCGACCCCGTCGTCCTCGTCGGCGTTCTCGTCCTCGTCCTCGTCCTCGTCGTCCTCTCCCTCTTTCTCCTCCTCCTCCTCCTCTTCCTTTTCCTTCCGCCTCGTCTTCCCTCCTTCCTTCTCCTCCTCTTCATGCTCCCTCCTCTTCATCCTTCCCTCAGGTTCAGAAGCTCTTCCGATCGAAATATGTTTTCCAAAAGTGCCTTGAGGCCTAATTCAGGATGGCCCGAAATCTTCCAGTTAATTTTACAAGCGTCTCCCAGGGACCCTCATGTTCCCACATTGTTTTTGGAACTTTCTGAGAGGCTTTAGGGACTCGCAAACGGGCCCAAGCGGCTGTCCAAGGGGATCCAGGATTTCTCCCACAGGTTGTGGGGTGTCTCCCCGAGTTGTTGGGCAAGCCGGGCGTGGTGATACCTAGAAGAATGAAATGGGCAAAGCGATCGCGAAGTCCATGTGCCATCCAGGCGCTGGTAATGTTGAAGTGCCTCGGGGGATGTGTTGTCCAGGCATCCTCTGGCGGGTGGTCTGGGTAAGGGAATATTGGGCCCCCTTGTGCAAGGAAAGATCCCCTTTATGAGGGGGGATCTATCATGATGGATACATGCTGCCTATACAATCAAAGAGCATTTGGGTGAAATGATTGCTGTTGATTTCTGAATTCTAAATGATAAGTAATGTAGATCCTCCTGTGCGGTAACCAACCTGTTTTTCAATTGAAATGCTTCTCCCGTGTCTCGCACCCTGTTTATTACAAAGAAAAGCTGGATGTTACCAGATTGTGCCATTGCCCCCCGGTTTACAACAACAGCGGCTCCCGCCGGATATTTCCTCACAATGTATTTGGAAATCACGCTCTCGCGCAGGACGTCTTCACAACGTACACACAAAAAGTTCCCGAGCTACTGCCCCTCCTGCACCTGCACAGCTCGTCAGCAACGCCACCAGCTGGTTCGGCGCTGATCGAGCTGGCAATGCGGCCTTTGTCTGGCCTCGGCGAGCTCAGAGACAGTGTGGAGGCGACTGGAGCGCGCAGAGTGTGCGCCCCCGGCCCTGCAGAGAGTGACGGCGCGCGCTCGTGCGCGCCTCCCCTACTCTGCCGCCTCTGTTCCTTCTGCTGCGCCGCTGCCGGCAGCCCGCGAGGAGGCCATCTCGATGCCCCACGCGGCAGCGGATCGTGTCCTGGGAGCGGCGGTTGGCGATCAGGGGTGGACAGTCGCAAGCAACAGGGCTGCCGAAGTGGGGGGGGGCCCGCTGTGTCTAGCGCGGCCTCGAGTGGGCCCGTTCTTGTGTCCGGCATCCCTGAGCCATTTGTTCTGCTTATTCGAGGACACCATATGGTCACCGAAGGCCCATTTGTCTACTGTCTGAACTGCGGGGGACCAGCATCCACCCGCCAGTCCCCAGTGTTGATGGCCCACTGTAATGGCCCCGTCGACTGGGAGACCAGTAGGCTTCGTTCCACCGCTTGAAGAAATCTTGAGGCCAAGTGTCACCCGCGCGCGGGGATCCCCTTACGAGGTGACGCCCACGCGGCTTCGGGAAAGCCGCGCTTTCCTCGAAGCAGTCGTGGATCCCTTGTTTCCTCGGCGGAGTCATTCGAGTCGCGTGTCTTCCTTTGCCTCATTCCTCTTCTTGAGGTCACAGGAGGTCTCTGGAGTTACCGGAGGCGATTTCTGGTTGGTTTTACATATGTGTTCTCTTGTTTTGGTCTTTACGTTTCTTTCATTCGGCCTCTCGATTGTTCTTCCCATTGGCACAGGGCCCAAGCGATTCTTTAGATTATGTTTCATTGTATGTGCCAATGATCTCGCCAGAGCGAGCGGGCCGCCGACAATAATCATGTTATGTGTTTTTGGTGTCAACGATGTCGCCTGGGAGCTTACTGTTTGCTTCCTAGGGTAAGAACCGTTCCCCGATAGATCAGGGAACGTTGGGATACGCTCAAGGGGGGTGCATCCATCCCCAACCGCCCACTCATCGCCAATGAGGGCCCACTCAGCGCCCAGCTCCGCCTACTCTCGCTCACTCATCGCCCCCGATAGCCCACCCCGCCGAGGAACGTGTGTATTCGCTATCGGGGGCCTGTGGACGGTCCGTCGGCGACTTCTCGTTGATTCCAGCTCGATATGTCCCCCTTGAGTTGTCCCCCCTAGCGCTGCCCCTCAGGATTCGGCGGCGCGCACAGGGGGGCAGGGGGAGGGGGGAAGGCGTCTTAGAAACGCCCATGCTTCTTAGAACGCGCGAGCCTTGTCCGTTGATGTAAGGCTGGCGCCTTCTAAGAAGCAGCCTCCTTTAACTAAGTTTTCCCCCTCTCCCCCTACCACCTTGTGCGCGCCGCCAAAAGATGATCCAGAAACATTCCACGATACTGTTGTCCTTCCGTATCGTACCTCGGCTTGCAGCCGCGCTTCGACCGCCCGTGGCGCCAGGCAAGCCAGAGCACGCCAGCCACTTCGGAGGTCGCTAGCTACACATCTGCACCGAGTCTGGCCAGGCAGATCCTGGGTCCAGGATGAGTGCATACGCTTCCCTCCCAAGACAAGGGAGTGTACACAACAATCCTGGGCCAGGGACGGGCCTGGCCCGAATCGGTGTAGGTGTGTGATTGGAATCATCCTATGCTTCCTCCGCGCGAGGTGCCGATGCTAGTCGATTTGGCATTTGGCATTGGGTTACGCAGCTCTTGTTTGTCGCCTGTTGCACGCGGAACTACTAGAACGAGGCGCGTTTCGCTGGCGCATCCTAGTGCCTCTCTGGGAGTCTCGACGCGAGTAGCGACACGGCCCGTCTGATCTGGATCGTCTGAATCGCAGTGGATCGCCTAGCCTTCTGAGAAGGCGCACGGGCTTGTTGGCAGCTCCCCCGCCATCCAAATTTTTACAGGCGATGGACCCAACAATATGCAGTTGTGGATACCGCAATCCTGAGGATCGGCTTCGGTGCAGCTCACTATGGGGCCACGAAACATGAGAGGGGGGTCTGGAATGGGCCGCAGCCGCATGCGATCCCACTTGGGCCTTCGGTGGAGCTCCCCATGAGGCCACGAAATTGCCGAAATTGGTGAGGAGCTGCAAACGAGGACGGCGATTGGCGCCTTAGGTGGTGCTGTGAGGCCAAGAAGCGTATCAGGGGTGTGCGGGGAGCCCCGTGCGAGGACGGCCACGCGCGCCTCAGGTGGGACTCCCTGTGGGGCCACCAAACGTGTTTGGGATGTGCCGAAACTGGCGGGGAACCGCAGGCGAGAACGGCCTCTGGCGCCCTGGTTGGAGCTCCCTATCGGGCCTCCGAAACGTGTGAGGGGTGTGCCGAGATAGTCGTGCGCAGGGTATGGGCAGGGGTGAGAAGCGGGAGGAGGAAGGAGGAAGGAAGGAGTGACGCGGGGCGCTGCCTCATCAGAACGAGGACCCAGCACCACAAGGTGGCTAACGATAAGCTCATCCTGCGCGCCGCCGAGAGTCTGAGACTGTCGCGCCCTGCCAGCGCCTCGCGCCGTGTCTCCGCGGGGCGGTGCCGCCTGCGCGCAACCTCCGGTGTTGCCCAGAAGTGGCCCTGGCCCAAGGTGGCCCCAGCTTTCCCAGGGAGGCGCCGATCGCTTCCAGAGCACCCCTCTCGCGAGGCCCCGAGGGCCCCAGAGGCGCCGACGTGGTGCAGCACGAGACGAGGGCACCTGGGGCCAGGACCACTTCTGGCGCAACCCCCGCAGCCCGGCGGCCGAGCTGTCGAGGCCATGCCCATGGAGGACGTGTCGGAGTTGCTGGGCCTGGCCGAGGACGGACACCGGTGCGCCGGGTGCAGCCTCAGGCCCCCTCGGCGCGGGAGCCTGTTTTTTTTTGGATTCGGGCAAGTTTATTTGCATGGCGTTCGCCCCCCCCCTCCCCCCCCCCCTCGCCCCTCTTCAAGCGGATACTAGCGTGCAAGTGCCTTTCGACTTGCGTGATTTCCGCGCCCCCCCCCCCAGGCTTGCTTCAGGCTCAGCCCCCTCCCCCCCCGTCCATGCAAGTCAACTTGCCAGAGTCTAAAAAAACAGGCTCCGGGGGCGGGGGTCGACTAGACGTAAGAGTGACCTTTCGCAGGAGTGACCTCTGGTGCGGGCACAGGTGGGTCCCCGGATGGCCGAAAACGAGGCAGTGGCAGCTGGAGGCGCGCCCAGATTTGGTCCCCCCGCGGCCCCCAAAGAGCCGCGCACCAAAGGTCACGCTTACTCTTACCCAGGGTCATTCTTGCGTACAGTCGGGGCTCTGAAGAAGGAACCCTTTTCGTTGGGGAGGGGCTCCGCGTTCCTTAATTGTCTCACAGTTTGCCCCAGGCTTTCCTTAGGTTTTCGACAGGGCTGTGGAAGAGGGGTTCGGGATCGGGATGGGGAGCCCGTCTCGGGGAAGGGGTCGAGAGCTCTGTGGTTCGACCGCCCGAAGCGGTTCAGCCGTTGGAGGTGTGGGCCTCTCAAGATCCCACGGGGCCCGCGGTGGTTGACGGCGCTGTTCTGCAAGCCTGGCCCCTGCAGCACACCCCCTGCGCCTCGAGCGGGCCCCCCTTGCGGAGGGCGGCAGTGCCAGGCTCACTTGCCCGCCTCGCTTGCCCGTCTCGAAGAGGGTTCTGCCTTCTCTCAGCGGCGCGCAGAAAGGGGGTGGCGCCACGGGGGGCGGTTCACTTAGAAGGCAGGGGGCTTCTCAGAAGCTTTGTTTGTCTTGAAATCCTGTCAGCCCCCCATTGGGGACTACAGCGGAGGCGAGAATGGTAGGAAGAGAGATGGGCTTCCCAAACCAGCATCCTTGTGAAAAGTCCGTCAGTTTTGATGCCAGGCCCAGCCATTCCATACAATTCACTACGTGCTCAGGAAACGCATCCGGGTCTACTTGAGGGCTACGCTGCTGTATGTTCGCTATGTTGCTTCTCCATATGCTTGTGTTAAGGTGCAGCATCAGGGGACGTCCCAAGATGGTCGCATTATTGTGTCTTGTTTCTTGCCAGCCCTATTTGGTAGGGTCTTCGTATCGGACAGAACACTGCTGTCTCATTTTCTCCTTTTGTCTTCCTCATCCCCTCCTTCTGTCTCTCACCTCTTGCCTGTCTCCTGCATGCTGACTGTCTCGTATCCTTCACCTGCCCCTTTACTACGTTATGCCTCCCCTGGAGTGTCTCTCACCCCGCCTCTCGAGATGCTTCCAACTGCTCAGCCGTCGCCGCTTTCGGGAGCCCCTGCGGCGCCTGGAAGGGGCCCAACTGGACCCCGCGCTGTGTGGGGGAGCTGCAAGCTGCGCAGCTGTCGCCCGGGGCGGTCGAGGCGAGTCCGGCGGCGGCGACCGGGGCCCCCCCGGGAGGCCCAGGAGGGCGAGAGCGAGGCCAGCGCAGCGGGATCGGTACCCTGTTCTCCTCCAGGGCTGGACCTGAGCGGTGTTATGGTAATCTCGTCGGCCGTTCTCGTTTCGGCTTCGTTCTGCGGCAGGGGCGGACAGAGGACACAACAGGGGAAAACGAAAACGAAACGAAATGGAAGAACACCGTTTAGGTTCAGCCCTGTTCTCCTCCGAGTTGTCGCCGCTGCCCCTTGCCTTAAGTCGGGCCTGTCTCTCTACAGGGGGAATAGTAAAAAATAGTCACACAATAGTATGGGGGCAATTTTTTGTATGTGTTTGGGTCTCTTGTTTGAGTAGTTGTTTGAGTATTTTTATTTTTCGTCCAAAACCCCCCTGTAGGGGGACAGGCCCAAGAGGGCGAAAGCGAGGCCAGCCCAGCGGGATCGGTGCCTTGTTCTCCTCTGCTTGGCATCGCTCCGGCGTGAGCACTCTTCCCCGGCGGGGGTTATTAAGGAGCCTCCTGGCCTGGATCATCCCGCGAAGCAGCCACACACGAAACCGAAACAGACACAGGGAATGGACCTCCGAGCGATGGCCAGTCTGAGTTGTCGCCGCTGCCCTCCTCCTCCTCCTCCTCCTCCTCCTCCTCCTCCTCCTCCTCCTCCTCCTCCTCCTCCTCCTCCTCCTCCTCCTCCTCCTCCTCCTCCTCCTCCTCCTCCTCCTCCTCCTCCTCCTCCTCCTCCTCCTCCTCCTTGCCCAGAGGCCGAAGTTCGAGGTCACGTCTGGCGCGGGCCCGCCGATCCTGCGGCTCTGCTGCGCGGGCTGCGGCTGGAGCGAGCTCGCGCTGTGAGGGCGGCCCCTCCGCGGCGCGAGCCGGCGCCGCCGGCAGGGCGCGAGCAGGTGCGCCGCGCGGCGAGGCAGCCCGTCATCCTGGAGGGGCACATGGTGGCGAGGGGGAGGGGAAGGAGGAGGAGGAGGAGGAGGAGGAAGAGGAGGAAAAGGAGGAGGAGGGAGGAAGGAGGAGGAGGAGGAGGAGGAGGCAGTGTACGGTCGGTGCGCCCAGGGGGGGAGATGTGAGGGAGCAGGCCATCTCAGAAGGCGGCGGGGCTTCTGAGGAGCCCTCGCGCCTTCTGAGACGCCACCTGTGCCGTCGGGAAAAGTCCAGGGAGCTTCTCAGAAGGCGCGAGGGCGTTCGAGCCTCCCGAGACGCCCCGCCCCCTCTGTCTTTCCTTTTTGGGGCCTGCTGCCAAGCAAAAGGTACCGATACTGCTACCCTTGCCTCGTTTTCGTCTGGTGGCCCTCGTGGGAGGCCCTCGTCGCCATGGCTGGATTCGATTCGAAATCCTGGCCAGAACGCACTCCGGGAGAGATCTGAGAAGCATCAGAATCGGTGCCTTCAGGTTCAGGGCCCAGGGAAGGGGTCGGGATTGGGGAGACCGTGCATGTAATTGTTCAAACGATCTCGATGTCGGGTGTCTGTGAGACAGGGTCTGAGTCTATACAGATGCTGTCACTACTTTGTCCGCGTCTGAACTTGAGGGCCCGAGGAGCTTTCATCACCCGTTCTTTCTTGTGCCTTCCCGGGAGGTCGGAATGGTCCCGATCTGCCACAGACCTGGAGTTTTGCCCGAACATTAAACGGAGGCCATGCCGAGAACAGCCTTGCCTGGGAAATCGTAGGGATGAGTTCTCGTCCTCTACGGAATCCCATTGAAGTAAGATATTAGCGGTTTCGCCTGCGAAACCCAGCGGGGTTAGAGGTCAACGCCAGTGTACCCAGGCTATACGGTTGTCGCGGAGTTGAACGTGACGGGCGTTTCTGTTCCGTTTCGGTGCCTGGGGGCATCACATATCTCTGGCGCCGCGCCCGCCCAAGCCACCGACTCGCACTGAAGTGCCCGCTGGCAAGTGGCCAGCGGTCAGCGCCACCGCGGCTGCGTCGGTCGCGCCCCACCAGCTGGCCGCTGCGCGCGCAAGCATGCGCGGGCTAGCGCGGCCGCAGAGATGCACCAGCCAACGCCAAACACTCATCGCAGTCGCCGTCGCATGGGTTGTGTAAACAAAGTTGCGGATGGGTGGGTGGGATGATTGCGCGAGCAGTTGAATTGACAACTCACTGCGAGCATGGGTGGATTGCACCACGCGCATTGCATCACATAGCATGCGCAACATAAAGTTCACCGCGCACGTTGCACCACATGGGTTGCACAACATACATCGTACCACATAGAACGCCTCCACATACCATGCACCACATATATGGCATAATCTAGGACCTAGATTGCACCACGCAGACTGCTCAACATGGATTGCCTTAGCCACATTGTTTGCGGCCCGCGCTGGCCAGCACGCATATATGTATATGTATATGTATTCGGAAGTATCGATTGGGTCCGGCATATGTCGGCCGATGAAGTTTTTTTCTGGCGGTTGTACCGCTGGTACCCCCGATATATATATATATATACACATATATATGTGTGTAATTGTTTATTTATTAATCCAGGTATACATATACATTTTTATTCAGCGAGGCAGATCTGTTTATCGACGTAGGTGTTGACAGTGGGATCGGTGGTTAGATGGTGATATCGATAGATTGGTAGTGCGTTTGATGCATGAATGACGAAATCGATTTGGTTATTTCCCACAGCAGCGCTTCCATTTAGAATTTTGTTGTTGTTGGAAATGGGCTTGCGTGCCGGGCTTGCGGCTATGTTGTCGCCGTCGCCGTTTTGTCGCCTCTTCGTCGCCGCCAGCCGTCTGGGCCTGCGTGCCGGTGTAGCGGCTATGTTGTCGCCCTCGCCGCCCTGTCGCCGCCTCGTCGCCGCCATTCGTCTGGGCCTCTGCGTGGTAGCTTGGCGGCTATGTTGTCGCCGTCGCCGCCCCGTCGCCGCCTCGTCGTCGCCCGTCGCGTAAGCCTACGAGTCTCTCTCTGACGGTTGCGTTGTCGCCGTCGCCGCCCCGTCGCAGCCGTTGTGGAATCTTCTTTGTGCAACGTAGATCGCACAACAAGTTGCACAGCGTGGATTGCATCACATGGTGTGCACCATGCAGCGTGCACAACATAGATGCCACAACATAGACGCGTCACATATGATGTTTTACACACATGTGTATACTGCAAACCGTAAGTGCATCACATAGATGTCAGTACGTATATTGTTCTGCATGTATCGCACAGCGTATATTGCATTACGTATAGTGCGAACGACAGAGTGCACAGCATAGATTGCACAACCTAGAATGCATTCACCATAGCGTACATCATACATTGCACAGCGTATAGTGCACACGACATGATGCACAACATAAACTGAACCACATACATTGTACCACATATTTTGCGCAGCATGTGCTATTAATCAGCTATTTCTGGAGTCACACTGTTTGGGGTCAGGTTTGTTAACATCTGCATGTTGAGTTGCATTGCCAGATCTATGACCAGACCGATACATACGTATTTAAAATATGTACACACGCTTAATTACGCAGTCGTACATACATATATACATATATATATATATATATGTATACCGATCGATAGACCGATAAGGGCTTTTTGGTAGACGGAGACGGTTGTTCCGATTGGTGTTTCGTTTTTGGTTCTTCATTATTCAACCTCCTTATCGGCCTTTTCTTGTCTGTCCGTACAGGTATGGACATATTTAGTGGCCCCATGGGTCCCTGATATCTTCATACTTGCCACTTGCCGAAGCCCAGGAAGATCGATTTCCCAGGCCTGGGATGAATCACCCCCAGCCTCGGATCAGGGACCACCGACAAGCGGAGCTCGCTCAATGATGCACGGCACATGGATTGCCAGAGACTGAGGCCCAAGCGTGTGCCGTGCGTGTCTTCGGGCCTGCGTGTTCACGGGTCGCCTCGGCGGGCTCGGCTCGAGCAATTATTCGAGATGGTTGGGCGCGGCTCGAGCAATTAATCGAGATGGTGTCGCGGACTGGCCTGGTGTGAGATGTTGAGCGGGTTTTGGCCGCTTGGTCACAATTGTTGGTTCCTGGGATGGGCCTTGTACGGCCCAGAGAGAGAGAGAGAGAGAAGCCGTGCACGTCACGGCGACGGTGTGGATGCCTTGGGGCTGGGCGGTTGTCGGACCAGAGGCATGGGGGGAGAGTTGTCGTGGTGCCCAGCTTCCTGAAGGAACGCAGGACCGCCAGAGCCACCCTCGCACATCGTGCTGGCTTATGCCAGATTTTTTTTCTGGGCCAGCTGTTCAGTGCGAATGTGGCGTGCCATTCCAATCTGCTGTTCAGCTGGAGTAGGTCCTAGGCTCTCAGGGGCTGCGGTCGGCGTCCACAGCGCATGCGCGTGGCTTCTCTGCCTCTGCCGCAGGTCCTCGGTCGCACGCGGCCGCACGCGGCCACCGCACCCCTCTGCCTAGTCAAGCCTGACGACGTTGTCCCAGTTCTCCGAGGATGCGAACACTGTCCGCGCGGCGGCTCTTCTGATGGCCCAAAACCCGAGGCACCCAAAATGGCGCGAAAAGCTGGGGACACCTTAGGACAGGGACACTTCTGGCAACACCCGGCAGACGCGCTGTCCCGCGTGCATTCCCCCAGACAGACCCTGCATTCGAGGAGTTCTGATACACCTACGCCGCGAGCGAGGACCGGCACTGGTCAGGGGGGTCGCCGTGGCCGCCCGACGGGTGCTGAACGTGGGTTTCGAACGGGTAGCTTGGCGTGCACAGACGTGTATCTTTGGACTTGGATTTGGACGGTGCGCCCTGCCGTGGCGGTGGGGAGGTCTCCGGAATGTCCAGAAAACGGGCATCACGAGGAGGAGGAGGAGGAGGACGAAGACGAGGAGGAGGAGGAGCAGGAGGAGGACGAGGAGGAGAAGGAGGAGAAGGAGGAGGAGGAGGAGGAGGAGGGCGAGGAGGAGGACAAGGAGGAGGACGTCAAGGAGGAGGAGGAGGAGGAGGAGGTCGAGTACGAGGAAGACGAGGACGAGGACGAGGCCGAAGAGGAGGAGGAGGAGGAGGAGGAGGAGGAGGAGGAGGACGAGGAGGACGAGGACGAGGAGGACGAGGACGAGGAGGACGAGGAGGAGGCAGTGTACGGTCGGCGCCACCCCGCGAGAAGAGGAAGAACCAGCCCCCGCGCCAGAGTGGACCCCGCCCGCAGCCGTCTTGGGGTTGCGCTCCGAGCAGCAGCGGGGGGGAGAACGCCGCCGCCGCGCGATCGGCGGCGGTTGCCGCGCGGCCCGCGCCTGAGAGAAAGGGGGCCCGCCCGCTGCGCTGCACCAGCGAGAGAGGCGCAGGGGAGCGCCTGGGAGGGCGAGGAGGCGTCCCTGTCGGTCCGAGGCCAGGGATGGTGCACTTCCGACTCCTCGGGGGGGGGGGGGGGGGGCGACGTGCCGCGCGCCAGCCAAGGGCCTCGCCTTGGGCGCGTCTCGGCCTCTGCTGACGGCCAGCGGCAGCAAATCGGCGACCAGCCTGCCGGCGGACGGCGGTTGAAGCAGCACGCAGGCGCCAACGTTCTTGGTCCGAGGGCTTCTGGAGCGGGCCAGGTGTCGGCGGGCATGGAGTTGTTTCCCTCCCCCGTCGGCGGGCATGGAGTTGTTTCCCCCCTTCCCCCCCCCCGCCCCAAGGCTCGGGTAACTCGTGCTCGGGCTTGGTGCCCCGGGCAGTGCACCAGTTTTCGGTGTAGCTTTGGGGCCAGCGTCCCCAGGCGTTTTGGATCCTCCTCTTGAGGATGGCCTCTGGGCCTCTGAATGTCTAGTTGATGGACGAACCTGGCCCCCCACGGAGTGCTTCTTCTTCTTCTGATTAGTTTTATTATTATTCTTATATTCTTGAGTTTTCTTCTTCTTCTTCTTCTTCGTCTTCTTCTTCTTCCCCCCGCGCCCAGAGCCCGAAAATTTCGAGGTGTCCAGTGCCTCGGATCCAGAGGCCACGGAGCCGGCGCGCGTCCGCCGAAGAGGCCCTTGGGCCTCGGAGTGGGTCCCTGGGGCCCGTGGCGGGATGGTGTGGGCCTCGGAGAGCAGCCTGTGGAGCCCGCGGCGCGAAGAGTGTGCGACAGGTGAGGTCAGCAGCTCAGCTGATGCTAGAAGCGCTGGATGTTTCCCCGTTTTCCATGTTTTCGGGGTGGGTTTGGGGGGGAGGGGAGCCCCCCTGCTTTTGATCGACGGCGCCGCGTGTTGGGGGGGGGGGGGGGCCGGGTTCGAAACGCGTCGCCGAATGTTCCCAAGGCAAGCGCTCGTGAAACGCGGTCTCTCTGAAGTTAGAAGCGCTGGATGTTTCCCCGTTTTCCATGTTTGCGGTGTTCAAAAGCAGGATAGCCCGGAGCCGAACCGAGCAAGGCGAGATCAAGAGACCGAAACGGAAACCAACAGCAACGTACACCAACACGTAGACGAGACGTCGACCTTGGAGTAGGAAAAACCCGCCCCAAACGTTTTCAAATCATCTAACCTCAAGAACCCCTGGGGTTTCTGGGGAAGGAGATCCGTGGAGGTTGGTGCCGGCTGAGGGGTTGAGGTGGCCCAGAACTTGGTTCTGGCCAGCAGGAAGGGGAGGGCGAGGTTTGAGTCGCTGTATTTTCGCGAAATTGTCTGGGGTTCGCAGTTGAATATGCGATGCTGCTTGGGGAGCCGAGTCACCCAGCCCGCATGCGAACTTCAGACCGCAGTGCCACCCTCGACCGCTTTTGGCAGCGCTTGGGCGGGGGTGGCGCTTGCTGCGTCCAGAGCAGCTTGGGTGGTGACGGCGCCTACAAGGGGGCATATCCTTGATTCAGGCCATTCGTGCTCTCAGTGTGCTGTGGCTTTCTGTCCACGCCTATGTCAGCCGATGCGCGCGGGGCTAGCTACACGCATGCAATTATTCAACCGATTCTGTATGGCGACTACAACGGGTGTGGTCATGCCAGGGCTTGTTTTGCGATCTGCGCCGTTCGGGCTTCTCGGGCACCACGTCGCGCAAAAGGTTTCACGAGCCTTCCTCGGGGCGAGGCGGAGAACGTTGGCAAGGTCCCCGCCCGTCCCCAGGGGCGCAGGTTGCAAACCGCACCTTTTGCAAGCCACACTTTTCAGAGTCGCCGAACCGATTCAACTGTCTCTGCGTGCCTCGGTCCAGGGATCGATCTGCGTCTGCAGGGGAACGAACAATGACATAAACATAAAAACTCGGAGGTCCGCGCGGATTTCTCGGATCGGCGCTGGACCCCCCTCCCTGGCGCGCGGAGCGGCGCGCCAGGGGCGACGCCGGAGGCACCGCCAGGGGGGTCCAGCGCCGGTCCGAGAAATCCGCGCGGACCTCCGAGTTTTTATTCCCTACCTAGGCTCTGCCTAGAGGGTTCTTACTCTCTTAGCTTAAAGGGGCCGGGCAGTGGAAAGCGCCCCGGGCGGTTCCCCCAGTTCCCGCCCCGCGGTTCCCCCAGTCGCGCCCCCTTAGCTTGGCTTAGCTTATCTCGTCTTAGCTTAGCTTGGCTTAGCTTAGCTTGGCTTAGCTTAGCTTAGCTTGGCTTACCTTAGCTTAGCTTAGCTTAGCTTAGCCTAGCTTAGCTTAGCCTAATGTAGCTTAGCGTAGCATAGCATTGCATGGCATAGCATAGCACAGCATAGCATAACATAGCACAGTATTGCACAGCATAGCTTAGCATAGCGCCCCCTTAGCTTGGCTTAGCTTATCTCGTCTTAGCTTAGCTTGGCTTAGCTTAGCTCGGCTTAGCTTAGCTTAGCTTGGCTTACCTTAGCTTAGCTTAGCTGAGCTTAGCTTAGCCTAATGTAGCTTAGCTTAGCGTAGCATAGCATAGCATGGCATAGCATAGCACAGCATAGCATAACATAGCACCGTATTGCATAGCATAGCTTAGCATAGCTTAGCATAGCATAGATTAGCATAGCACAGCGCATCATTAAACAATGTGCGCGGCGCCAAGGCGAGAACAACATTTTGAACACGACCCGCCTTCAACCAGTGAAACTATTGGCATTTTTCCCTACCTAGGCTCTGCCTAGAAGGGTTCTTACTCTCTTAGCTTAAAGGGGCCCGGCAGTGGAACACGCCCCGGGCGGTTCCCCCTGTCCCCTGGGAGCGGTTCCCCCCAGTCCCCTGGGAGCTTTTGCTTTAGCTTTAGCTTTAGCTTAGCTTTAGCTTAGCTTTAGCTTAGCTGTAGCTTAGCTTTAGCTTAGCGTTTCGCTTAGCGTTTCGCTTAGCTTTTCGCTTAGCGTTTAGCTTAGCTGTTGCTCAGCTTTAGCTTAGCTTTAGCTTAGCTGTAGCTTAGCTTTAGCTTAGCTTTAGCTTAGCTTTAGCTTAGCTTTAGCTTAGCTTTAGCTTAGCTTTAGCTAGCTTAGCTTTAGCTTAGCTTTAGCTTAGCTTAGCTTAGCTTAGCTTAGCGCTTAGCTTTAGCTTAGCTTTAGCTTAGCTAGCTTAGCTTTAGCTTAGCTTTAGCTTAGCTTTAGCTTAGCTTTAGCTTAGCTGTAGCTTAGCTTTAGCTTAGCTTAGCTTAGCTTTAGCTTATTTTTAGCTTAGCTTAGCTTAGCTTTAGCTTAGCTGTAGCTTAGCTTTAGCTTAGCTGTTGCTCAGCTTTAGCTTAGCTTTAGCTTAGCTTTAGCTTAGCTTCAGCTTAGCTTTAGCTTAGCTTTAGCTTAGCTTTAGCTTAGCTTTAGCTTAGCTTTAGCTTAGCGTTACTGTTACTACTAATGCTGCTTTCCTAGGGGTTCCAACTCCTAGGTAGGGTCGCACTGGGATAATTTTTATGTCATTGTTCGTTCCCCTAGTCTGGAGGGCAGTCCCCGTTCACTGCGTCGTGGCCCCGTCCCCGAGAGTCGTTCTCCGTCTGCCCTCGTACTCTGCCCTCTGCTGCCCGCCCCCGAGGAGCGCACGACCTGTGCGCCAGCGCCGGAGGCGGCAGCCCCCGCTCACCAGTCGGTGGTCTTCTCCCTCGCAGCCGGGATCCGCCCGGACACTTCCGCCCCCTTTTTCGGGACGATCGAAATGGGTACGGAAAGAATGGGTACAAAGACCAACAGCAGTTCCTGCTCATTTTGAATAGGACTCGCTGTTCGCGCCGCCGCGGCCTGTGTCCATTTGAGACTGGAGGCCGCCTGCCCAACAGCGGCCGCTGTTGGTTTGGGACAACATGTGTTACAGTTGGGCAGTGTGTTCACTTTTTCAGTACCCATATATGGCGTCCAAACCTTTTGGGGGCGCTCCAGGAAGAGCCTTGCCTTCGAGGATCGAAGGAGCTGGGCATCTCTTGTCGGAGGGACGCCAACAGTTCACCACCACCAGCCATGGCCAGGTCCATCTTGGGCCCTGGGCTGGTGTATAGACCTCGAGGCCTGGGCCAGGAGGACCTGTACACCAGTCAAGGGCCCCGGATGGGCCTGGCCAGGGTTGGTGGTGGTGTATTGTTTGGAGCTCTTCTAGACGCTTTCAGCCTTCGAGGGTCTTGCGTGTCGCCCTGGCCGGCGCTGCAGCACGCCGAGCAAGGGTTCCCGACAGGAGCAGCGTTCACCACAGGGTTCTGGTTCCGACAAGCGACGCCAGCGCAACTTTCCTGTTGGGTCGCCGCCTCCCGCCTTGGAAGGCCTCCCCTGGGAGCCAGACGTCCCAATCCCGAGCGTTGTGGAGGACGATCAATGGAGAGGAAGCGCGCTGCCAAATAATTTCCAGATGTCTAAAACATGTGTTCAACATGTTTCCAACATGTAAAAAACATGTCTGAAACATGTTTAGAACATTTTCCGAAATTTGAACACATTTTAAATTCGATGATAGGACTGTTCGGGTGTCCATTGTCGTGGCATCCACAACCCGAGCGTGTCTGCTCGAGGATGGTGCGCCCCAGGCCTAGACCATGGCGCGTCTCGGTACTGTCCGAGGTGCGTCCCGTGCGTGCCCGCTCGAGGATGGTGGGGCCCGGGCCCGCGCAATGACCCAGGCAGTGTCACGTGCGTGCACGTCTTGGGACTTGTTATCGCTCGGACGTGTCCATTTTTTCTCGGCGGGGATTATTAAGGAGCATCCTGGATCATCCTGCGAAAAAACTACGCACGAAACCAAAAAAACAGGGAATTGACGTCCGAGCGACGGGGGGCGTCCGACTTCTTTCCCAGGCGCACGACGAGAACGGTGTGTCTGTCCCAGGTCTAGACAATGGTGTGCCGGAGCAGATCTTCGTCGGGCGGCGTGTCAGGAGACGTGGCAGGGGACGTGTCGCGGGACGTGTCAGGGAGAGTGTGCCGGGACGGACCAGAGGACGTGTCAAGGAACGTGTCTGGCGTGCCCACGGACGCAGCATGGGACGTGCGCAAACAGGGACGCGCTGGGGGATGTACCACGAGAAGTCTGAGGGGACGTGTCAGGAGGCGTGTCGGGGGTTTGCGAGGCGTCTGCGGGCTTTGCTTGGGGGCATCCCAGTAGGGGGGTTGTGTCCAGAGACGTGTCAGGGGAAGTGTTTGTGGTTTGTGCCAGTGGGCGTGTCGGGACTCGAGACATAGATGTCTTGGTAAGTTGCCGTTTCCATCACATGTCAGGAAGTAGCGATAGTGTATCGAAAATGTTTGAACCGCATGCACCTGAACTGTTTATGTTCGTGTTGTCCCCCGATGTAGCAGAAGGTTCGACAGGTTTTGGAGAGGTTTCTCGGCCCCTGCGTGGACGATGCGTTCCCGCCGACGGAGCCTTCTGATACGAGGGCAACTTCAATGGCCAACCTAAGCCTAAGCATGAGCCAAAATGGCGGCGGTGGAGAGGAGGAGGAGGAAACGGGAGTGGAGGAGCACGACGACTCCGAGGACGATGACAACGACGAACGTCACGACCGTGAGACGGAATAGTATTTTTCTTTTGATGAGTCTGTTGTCTCGAGGTTCCTCGGGGAAAATCCGCAGGGCGTCGGGCGCGAAGATGTCAAGCTTGCCTGGGGGCGCGAAAATTGAGAAGTTAACCAGTGACGCCATGGGCCCTTGATGTAACACATGCGCGGGCTCTGTCTGATAATGTCTTCGGGGCGGTGGCATGATGAGGGGGTTGGGGGGTCCACAGGGCAGCGTCCGTAAGTCCGTAAGCAATTGGGCTCAAACCAAGCTTACACTTCGCAGTCTTCCTTCAACAGCGTTGTTCCAATGCCGTGGGTTCAGCTTGGGAAGTTGCTTTCAGATCAATGTGGTGACGAGAAGGCTGGCACTGGAGACGGTAAGCCTCCCGTTGTCGGGCACTGGGCTGGCTTGCAAGCTGCCATTGCCAGTGAGTGTCTTGATGTGGAGGCCGGCGCTGGCGACGTGGAGCCGCCCGTTCTCGGGCATTGGGCTGGCCTCGAGTCTGCCATTGCCAGTGACTTAGTGGGCCCTGGAAACGACAGGGCCGTTTTTTTACCGGTTCCGTTTTGCAGTTTTTTTGCCGGTTCCGACGCCGTTTTTCTACCGGTTCCGTCGCCGTTTTTTGATCAGTTCCGGCTCCGGTTCCAATCCTGGAGCCGTTTTTTTGCCGTTTCCGGTCGCCGTTTTTTTGCCTTTTCCACTTTCACGGGACATTTTTCTGGAAACGGTGAAAAAATTGCCCTGCCGTTTCTGGGGCCCACAAAGGCCACTGAGTGTCTTGACGATGTGGAGGCTGGCGCTGGCGACGAGGGCCGAGCTGGCGTCGAGGTGCCGCCAGCGCATTTGACGCTCAAGCAATTTCTCAGGCTCGGAAAAGAGAATTTGGGTGATGAGAGTTGCTTGGTGCCTGATGCAGGCGTTGGCGGTCCAGCTGGCGGTCCAGCTCGTGCCCCGCGCGCTGCGGCGGCGGACCTGGCGACAGTTCCCCTTCCGTTGCCAGACGCTGCCGCTGAGGACCCAGATGACATCGGCCCCGTTGAAGATATTGCCGTCGCAGGTGCTTCTTTACGTAGTATGTCTTTGTTTTGGGAGCGGGTCCGTCAGTGCGACGCACAAGACCTTACGGATGCAGTCTCCATGCGGACTGCCGGCCATTATTCGTCCACGACACGTTCGCATGCCAGCTTGAAGGTAGAGGCCGAATTGTTGGGCACGACGCCGTTCACGTTGTCGAGACGGCGGCGGTGTCTCGCCATGGCAGGCTTGTCGATACTGCATTCCGACGCCATCAATGGAATGCGGCACGTTATTTCAAACACGCGCAGAGCTGGATGAAAGCTGCTTCTCTTCACGGAATCGTGCCAATATGATGAAACGCCCATGAGGTTGCGCGTCGCCGGCGTTGAGTTCGATGCAGTTTTGAAGGCGAGCTCCACACTTTCGCCTGAAGAGGAGAAGCTTGCGCCATCACTCAATGAAGCTCGACAGCAGAAGATTTTGGCAACCTGTTGGATGTTCAGTCTCATGGTCGAGGCTGGTGGATATATCCAGACGTTTCGCTTCTCTCTGCCAGCGTGGCATCAGAGCATGGCCAGTAAGCATCCAGAGTGTTACATGCAGCGTCTTGAGAAGACCAGGCCGAAATTGGGTGACTGGCTGCTTCGGTCGGCGCAAGCGCCTCGCGACCACAGATGGCGATGCATCGTGCGCGGCCGCGGGGCGAGGCCTCGCTTGCACGCCTTTTATAGAAACGGTTTGATGTCTTGCACTTGAAATGCGCCGCACGCAGGATAGCAACTATTCATGCCAAGGTGATGGGTTTCAGTTGCCGCGACACCAGCGCAATCATTCACGCTTCGCGTGCCCCCACCAGCCCATCCAACAATAGCCGCGCGGCGGGTGGCCTTGGTGAGGGGTATTGGAAGCGATCGCGGGCGTCTTGGAGGCCGCGTGGTCCGTCTTTGGGCCTGGCAGGGCTGTCTTGGAGGCCGTCGTGGGGCCGCATTGGGGCTTCTTGCTGCGCTCTTCACGTCGCATTGGAGGCCTCTTGGGAGCCCGGGGAGGGGGGGGATGGGGGGGGCGCATATTGGAGCCATGTTGGATGCCATCAGTCAACGCGTGGAGGCGGGAGCCCATGTTGCACCACCCCCCTCGAGGGTTGCGATCTTCGCGGGGGCGCCAGAGAAAGGCTCTACCAATGGGCGAATAAGGGCACTCTGGCCGCTCGAGCCCTCCCCCCGCCCAGGGCAGGGGGGGGGTCGGGCGCTGGCACCCCCCTGCCCGAAGGGTAAGAAGGAATCTCGTTCGACCTCCTGTCGCCCATAGAGTATGTTGGATCACTGATGTATCTCATCCGGTGTCGGGCGGTTTCGGCATGGCGCGGCCCCAAAAGGCGTTCAGAACGCTTCTGAGGAACAGCCGCGAATACATTCCAGGTGCGCCGCCGGAGAGCAACCCCGAAGAGAGGCAGTTGTGGCTAGATGTGTTTTTCATTGGGAAAGAACGTTCTCAGAGACTGCGGCGCAAAACCGTTGAATCCCTGCGCAGTGGCAAGTGGTCTTCCAGCAAAATCGAGAACGCTTCGCGCATCTCCGCAGCGACGCCTTAAGCCAGCCGCGCGGGCGCGCGTCGCAGACAGCCGCGGTGCGGCGTTCGCTTCCCGCGGCGCCCGCGGTCGAGTGGTTGCGCGCTGCCAACCGGAATCACATGGAAGCGATCTCGGGGCCGTTTTGGCTGGTGGAATGTCGGTGGGCCGCTTTGGGCCTCCCCGCTGGCCCTCTTGGGGTTCTGTCGTCGGTCGGTGGGCGCTCTCGAGGCCCCCTGAGCGGGCGGTGTTCTTGAGTGCGTCTTGGGGCCTTCTGCGCGCCCATGGGCGCGGAGTCGGCGTTCTTGGGCCAGTCTTGGGCGGGCCGCGCTTTGGCCGCCAGGCAATCTCGGCGCCCCGAGGGCCTGTCGGAAGCGAAGGGGCGAGAAGGGCAGCCGCGCGTATTTTTCACGCGGGCGCGGAGGCGCGCTCGGGCGTCGGTTCGCTCTGGGGCCCGCCGCGGGCCCCCCATCGGGCCCGTATTTGGGCCCGCGCGCGCCATCGTGGGGCCGCTCTGAGGTCCCCCCCCCTCCTCTCGCGGGGGTCTGCAAGCACCGGCTATTCCTTCCGCGAGACCGGCAGGGCCGCCAGGGGGAGGGGGAAGAGGACGGGGGGGTGGAGGAGGAGGAGGAGGAGGGCGAGGATGCGCGGGGGGGGGGGTAAGAGGATGACGGGAAGAAACACGCGGGGTCCAGGAGGGCACCGCCATGGGCCCCGAAGGCCTTCACCCCTGCGCCCATCGCACTCTACCTTCACTTGCTTCTTCGCCCCGTCATCCCCTTCCTCTTCTTGCTCCTGCTCCTGCTGCTCCTCCTCCCCCCATATTCCCCCTCCTCCTCCTCTCTGGCTTCCTGCTCATCCTCCTCGCTCTCTCCATCCCGCCTCTGCGTGGTTTCCTTTTTTTCTCCGTGAGACGGGCGCCCTGGGGGCGCGGTGCGCTTCCTGAACCGCTCGAGCCCAAAGGGCTTGTGGATTCAACGCCACTGCGCTGGTTGCTGCAACAGTGAGCAACATTGCATGGAAACGTTCGTTGCATGTTTTGCGAAGTGCATGGCTGTCGCAGCGCCCCGCGGTTTCCCGAGGGATTCTTGGGCCGGTGACGACAAGCCACTGGGTTGGATTGGTGGGCTTGCTTGCATCCATTTGTAAAGTTCACGAGCTATGATAAAGCTTGAAGGGAGTGCCGTATCATAATGTTACGGCTCAAGTCTGTTCTCATGGTCGGTTGGCCCGCCCAGCTGCTCGCTACCAAGGCTGCCGACCTAGCGATAGTCTGGGGCCTTGGTTCGCGCCAGTGCCCACCGTGCCCCGACTGCACTGTCAACTGCCCGACGGCCACTTGCTCGACGCCGTCGATCAACATCACCTGCCCGACCTTCTCTTGCCCGTCTTTTGCCCCGCAGTCGGCCGAGGGTGCGGGCTGGTCAGGCGTCTTCTTCTTCGTCGCAGGCCTGCTCGTGGGCTTCGGAGTATTGACTTGCACTGGTCTCATAGGCCGCAGTGTTGGCTGGCTGTCTTCGTTCTGTACCAAACGCCCGGAGGTGGAGGTTGTCGCGGACGACTCGTCCACTCGCGACCTGGCACTGAGGCAGCTCGCCATCATCCGTCAGCGCAATGGTGGCACCAGGTGACGTGGTGCTGGTCAGGTACGACCTGCCTGGCCCGCCGCTCTGGCACGAGCGTCTCATCCTCACGGTGGGCGCGCAGCCAGGGCACTACGCGGTGTTGACGCCTGACGGCGACATTTTTGTTGAAGAGCTTCGACCAGATAATGTTGATATTGCAGAGTTTCGCGCTGCACCAGGACTGGGAGTACCGCCGCAGGATATCCCACTGGCCAGCGTGCATCGGTTCCGTGCAGTGCCGACCACAGCCGAGATGATCCAGCACGTGCGAGACGGAGCGCTTCAGGCAGGCGTACCTGTTCCAGCGGCGCCGGCGGCGCCTGTCGTGGGCGCGCCTGGTGCAGCGCCTGGCGCCCGGCATCCGCCGCTGGGGCCAGCAGCTCCGCCCGCAGGGGCGTTGGTGGCCGTGGCTCCTCCGATGGGGGCTCACCTCGGCCCAGCCGCGCCGCCGCCCGTGGGTGCAGGCGGCGCGGCCGCTCCAGGCGCGGCTGCTGCGGCTGCTGCGGCGCCAGGGCCCGCTGGCGCAGCGGCAGTGGCGGGTTCGCCGCTCGTGTGGGTGGCGGCCGAGGACACTCAGGACATCGCGAAGGGGACTCAGATTCCGACACTTCCTGACGCCGCTGTGACATGTGGCGACAGAGGCATCATCCCCTACGGCATCGGTCACTTGTTCGTGCAGCGTATGGCAGAGGCCGACATCTATAGGTACGTGCATGACGATCTCAGGGTGCTGCCCGTGGTCGTCGACGCGTCGGGCGAGCGTAAGGTCAGCTTCGCGGAGGCGGTGTCGGCCATGGATCCAACGCCCCCGAGAGGCGGTCTAGGCCTAGACGGGCCGCCCACCACGTTCTGGTTGTTGAAGCAGATTCGAGATGATGATGCGAGCCCGAACGCTCACCATGAGAGGTGGGTGCGATCGTCACGCATTCCCGAGGGAGATCGCTCGGTATACGAGCATCAGGTTCTCTGCAGGATCCTGGACGCTGCCGCCACCTACGACCAACTGAACCTGCCAGCTATGAAGTGGGCCGAATTGGTATGCCGCCGCATGGCACTGATCAAGGAGGCCCACCGGGCCGCACCATCCAATCCAGATTATTCTGCTGGCGACGTCTTCATGGGCTGGGGACCTCAGTCGGCGGGAGGCGGCACGAATCCTGCGCTGGCGCAGTACGTGGCAAACCAGCTGAAGGACCAGGCGGCCATCGCGAAAGAGAGCAGAAAAGCCCGCGAGGAGCAGCAAGCCCGAGGACGTGGACGCGGCAGAGGCCGTGGCCGCGGCGGAGGTGGACTCGCTCCCGCGGGCGAGGAGGGATGAGCCCCCTCCCTCCTGGGCAGAGTGGCCGCCTCCCAGGAGATCTTCCAGGCCTGCGCGGCGGTGGCGTCTTACAGCAGCGGCCCCACCAGGCTCGCGCTCCACAAGAGCTCGGACCCTTCCATGCCCATCGACACGGCCAGGCGGTCGCGGGGGATCGACCTCGCGATCTTTTTCCCTTGCCTCCAGTTGATGCCAGGCGTGATGTGCCTGAGCAAGTTTTGGCTTCTGATCGAGCCCTCCAGCGCCGAGAGCGGCGTGCCCTTGAAGCGACGACGGTGTGCAGTGCCCTCAATGAGTTGTACGGGGTCGGCTCCACGGACCTCGCTCCCAACCTGGCGCAGGAGGAGGCTCACCATCAGGTACTGAGCAAGCTAGCTTCTGTGCCTGGCAGCGGTAAACTTGTACCTTTTCCGCATGACGCCTTCCGTGAGGTCATGCGCACAGACATCTCCTACGCTTCGGAGGAGGTTGCGAGTCGCGTCCGACCCTTTCGCACTGCCCCCGTGTCTCTTCCTCAGTCGGGCGCAAGGGCGCCCAGGCTCGAGGATGTCCTTGACCAGGAGGGGCGTCAGGTTTTAATCGAGGGGGTCGATCGCATGCTTAAGTCCCCACAGGAGTGGGGGGAAGTGATCGAGACCTCTCCTCACGTCACCCCCTACTTCGATGAGGTCTTGCGAGCTGATCAGATTGCATACGAAGGTTTTGTGAAAGACTTGTATCACGCGGGTATCGTTGAGTTTTCATTTGAGGTCGAAGATCACATCACTCCATTCTTTGTCGACAAGAAGGGCGTTGCTCTGCGCATGGTGTTGGATTGCAGAAGTCCGAACCGTAGGTTCAGAGCGCCACCTCGGATGAGGATCGCAACGGGAGCTGTCCTCTCTCGTCTGCAGGTTCCACAAGGCCAAGTTTTGTACGGTGCTCTGTCGGATGTCAGCAATTTTTTCTACTGGCTCGTGCTGCCGCACTGGCTCCGCAAGTACTTTGGCCTGCCAACAGTTAGTACTGCCAACGTCATATCTTGGGGCGCTCTTCCGGGACATGAGTCTCTTCGGGATGGCCTTCCTGGTCGTGTTTATCCTGTCATGCGGGTCTGTCCTCAGGGCTGGTCCTGGGCTTTCTGGTTCGCGCAGCGGGCTCGCTCACATCAGGTTCTACTGGGTGCCCGACTCGGCTCGGACCGACTCCTCGAAGAAGATGCCCCAACTCCAGACTTGTCCTGTAAGGTCCCCGTGGTCCTCCCCTACTGCGACAACTTGATAGTCATGGGCACAGACAAGGACTCCGTCAGTAATGTTAAGAGGTTGGCAGTCGAGCAGCTCAGACGTGTGGGCTTCCAGGTACACGAGGAGGTGGAGGTTACAACCTTTTTCGAGTCCCTGGGCTACCTGGTTGATGGAAAACGGGGGGGGGGGTCTTTCCGATCCCTCATCGGCTTGAGAAGGCCGTCGCAGCGTTCACCCATCTCAGGAGAAGGCCACACATCACGGGCTGGCAAATTAGTAAGGCTCTCGGATACGTCACGCCGATCTTCCTCCTCACCCGCTCCATGTTCTCGTTGCCTAATGCCCTGTATCAGTTCATGCACGAGAACTGGAGCCTCAAGAGGCGTCTCTGGCATTCAGCCGCGCTGGAGTGTAAGTGGATATCTGTGTTGCTGCCGCTCGCTTGGGCGGACCTGAGGATGCCGTGGACTTCGCAGGTAAAAGCTACAGATGCCTCGCTGTCCGGGTACGCCGTGGGCAAGTCTCTCTGGAATGTCTCAGATGTGGTGGAGGCAGGGGGTGCTCGAGAAAGGTTTCGATATCGCTGTGCCGTGCCGTCAGCCGCGCCGCGCCGTGCCGCTCTGGGGACCCTCGACCCGTTCCAGGACCTCGAGACGGTGAAGCCCATCGTCGACCGCTTCGAGCCCTCCCCCTACGAGCCCAACTACCTCTTCAAAGAGATCCCCGAGGGCCTCCTGCAGGACTCCATGTGGAAGACTAGCTACGCGGCGCCCTTTGTGTTCAAGGAAGGTATTGGGGATCTGGAGTCTCGTGCTACGGTCTCTGGCGTTAAGCATACTCTGAGGTCCTCTGGAGGTTTCCGCTCTCATCACCTGCATCTTGGAGACAATCTTGGCAATGTCTTGGGACAAGAGAAGGGCCGCATGAAGAACTTCACGCGTCTGGTCTGCTGTAGGAGACTCTGTGCTTTGGAGCTTGCCACTTCCGCTCGCATACACCATCGCTGGATACCCTCGGAGCGGAATCCTGTGGACAAGGGGTCTCGTTTGTGGGAGCACCTTAGGCTCAAACATGGTCAGGGGCCTTCTCCCTCAGGGAACACAGCCTCTGCCGCGGCCTCAGGTGCGGCTGAGCGGCCAGCCGCCTTTCGCCCTCCTCCAGGACTGCCCCATCCCGTCCCATGTGCGAGCCCCTCGCCCCCGGGGCCGAGGCCTGCGGGCCGCGCAGGTAAGGCCGCCCGCTCGGGCTACGACGGCCTCAGCCGCGCGGCGAGCTCGCACGCTGGGGACGCAGGAGAAGCAGCGGCTCGCTCGGGGTGCGCCCAACAAGCACGCTCGGGCGCAACTCAGGCGCGAGATGGTCGGCTCGATCGGCATCCGTGCGTCACGCTCGCCAGAGACGCAGGTCGAGACGTTCCTGGAGGCGAACGCCGTCACGGAGCGGACACATGCCATGTACGTCAAGAGGGTCGCGGACTTCGAGAGCTGGGTCTCGGCCAGGGGCCTCAAGCTCACCTCCGCCAAGCTGGTGGACTGCGCGCTGGTGGACTACCTGAACCAGCTGTGGATCGACGGCGCGGACATCGGCGAGGCGACGGGCACCTACGCGGCCTGGGTCAAGCTTCGCCCCTCCTTCTCCAAGAAGGGCCCCGACAAGCTCGTGAGGACCATGAAGGCGCTGCAGGGCTTCAACAGGCTGGACCCCGGCAGGACCAGGCCGCCGCTGCCGCTGGCGTTTGCAGCACTCATAGCGGTGGAGCTCGTCGGCATGGGCCTCGGCGGCATGGCGCTGGCGGTGATGCTCATGTTCTCGGCATACTTGAGGCCGATCGAGCTCCTCTCGCTTCAGGTGTCGGACGTGCTCGTGCCGACCCAGGGCAGCCCGTACTACGCGATCCACCTTCACCGTGCGGAGCGAGGTCAGCCCAGCAAAGTTGGCCTGTACGACGAGACGCTGCTGTTGGACTCGTCGGCGCTGCCGTTCCTCGGATACCTTCTGGACGCGCACCGGGCCGCGGCTGCAGGGCCAGCACTGTTCGACTTCGATTACCGGAGCTTCAACGAGAGTTTCAGGACAGCTGCGAGGACCGCAGGTCTGGCGGCCATCAAGCCCGACTTGTATCAACTTGGTCACGGCGGCCCCTCGCACGACATCCTGAACCGTCTTCGCTCGAAGGCAGAGGTGAAGGACAGAGGCCGCTGGAGGGACGATCGCTCAGTTCGACGATACGAGGCGCACGGCAGGCTGCAGCTCCAGGAGAAGCTGGTCTCAGAGGCGACACAGAGCCGCGCGGCAGCATGCCTGGTCGACCTCGAGGCTCAGCTCCGGTCAAGTATGCCGCAGTTCGCCCGTGCCGTGCCATCTTCCAAGGTCAGAAGATCGTCGAGCTCTTCTCTGGTGATGCTGGCTTCTCAAGGGCTGTCGCAGCCGAGGGGATCGAAGCGGAAGCTTGGGATGTGATTGACGGTCCCGGCGCGGACATCCTGACGACCGCCAACAGACGCAGGCTTGTCCGGGATTTCAGGACAGGCAGAGCTGTGGCCCTGCTAGCTGCTCTCCCTTGTCAGACCTGGACCAGGGCCCGAAAAAATGACGGTCAGGGACCTGGACCCCTTCGGGACGATCAAGACCACCTCTGGGGCCTCCCAAATCTTTCCCAAAAGGATCACGACAGGGTCCAGCTAGGCAACAGGCTATGGGTCGTCACCTTCCGCATTATCTGTCAGCTGGCCTCCCTCGGGGTCCCCGTGGTGCTCGAGAACCCGTTCTCGTCCAGGATCTGGATTACCAAGCATGTCAGTTATCTCATACGCAAGTTTGGGGCTCGTTTGCTCGAGGCGCATTATTGTCAGTACGGAACCCAGTGGAAAAAACCTACAGGCTTCCTGGTCATCAATTGCAACTCACTCTTTGATTTCAAAAGATGTTCTGGGACAGGGGGACGCTGCTCTGCTAGTGGACATAGGCATATACAGCTCATGGGTAAGGACGCCAACGGTAACTTCCGCACTAGAAGGGCACAGGCCTATCCCGCCCCCCTGTGTAACTTTTTAGCCCGCTCCCTGGTCGCTCATTTAACAAGTCAATATATGCTTAGCCTCGAACCTCATTTTTTCGCGCTAGATAAAGATAATTAGCACTTCGTAGGGCACACGTGTATGTGGGTATGGGAGCGATTGATTGCTCGAGTATTTCTCACGATCCCGTAACTCGTCGCCACTGGACTGCTGATGTGCACTGTCTGCCTCGTAGCGTGCCCAGGCGGAGAGCTCAGTAACATTGTGCACTGTGCTGCCAAAAGATTTCTTTTGTATATCTTGTGGCTTCGCCTATGCACGTCCTGGCACGGCATGTTGCGGGATCATTGTAAAGTTCACGAGCTATGATAAAGCTTGAAGGGAGTGCCGTATCATAATGTTACGGCTCAAGTCTCCCGCCCACTAACCACCCTCAACCCTGTAGAGCAGGGTTGCTTCTCAGTTGTTTCACAACTCTCGCTAAAGCGGAACTAACCTCTCCAGCTGGGAGCGATTGATTGCTCGAGTATTTCTCACGATCCCGTAACTCGTCGCCACTGGACTGCTGATGTGTACTGTCTGCCTCGTAGCGTGCCCAGGCGGAGAGCTCAGTAACATTGTGCACTGTGCTGCCAAAAGATTTCTTTTGTATATCTTGTGGCTTCGCCTATGCACGTCCTGGCACGGCATGTTGTGGGATCATGTATTTTTCAGGACGCCCATGCGAACTTGTGCGCCACCTTCAAAGACGTCGTTGGTGACGTCGGCGCTGGAGGCGTCGAGGGAGCTCCTGGGGGCGGCGCAGCTGCGCCCCCCATGCTGCCGGATGGCGACGCGGCCCCCCCTCCGGGCACGGCAGAGGCCGCGGCGGCCGCCCCCGCAGCCCATGTGCCTGGCGACGGGGGCCAGCCCGACGCCCTGCCAGTGTGGGAGCTCCAGCAGCAGGAGCTGGCCCGCCGTCGCCAGCGAGTTCGGGACTGGATATTGAGGCCAACGTTCCTTGCAGAGACCGCCGTGCTTCGGCGCGTCGCAGACGTTCACAGGGTTGCGATGCAGACTCTGTTGTGGATGAGCGGCTCGGCATGGGACCTTCGCCAGCGTGCTGGGGAGGGCCGAGCTGTGCTAGCTGGTCGGTCTGGCATCAATCTCCGATAATACGGAGCCTTGTCGCTGGCTTCGGGCGTCCCCGGTGTCCAGGTGATCGGTTTGATCAAGCAGCTGATGAACTCTGGAGACATGTGGCGTGTCCCCCCAGCAAATTGCAGGTCTCTCTCGTTGCGCCTGAAGGTGTTCCAACAGCTATCCAGGTCATTGTGCCTCATGCTGGAGCTTCAGGCGCATCGGCCAACATGCCCCTTCAAGCCTTTTCGTTTACTCGTAGAGCCAGGTTTAATTGATGAGAGATTCTCACAGAGGTTCACATGAGGGATGGTTGGTTCGCATCCTTCTACGCGCATTACACGAGCGAGGGCAGAGGCGGCGTCACGTCGACGATAGCATGGGCTGATCTTCGGTGCACGCTCTTGCTACTCATGCACGACGCTGCGCCCGTCGAGGCCGGGCGTAGTCGGTTTCGCGGGCAGCTGGAGGGGTCGAGCGCGCAGATTCATCGACAAGCCATCGAGGACGCCAGCGCCGCCGAGTTGTCGAGGCGGTTTCGCGCCTTTGAGCAGGCTTTCCAGGACATTCGCCTACCTGGGGCGCCAGAGTCGGGCGCGGGAGGGCTCGCCGCGGCGCCGGCGGCCTCGCCCTCGGCTCAGGCGGCGTGCTCGTCGCAGACGGCCGCGTCGGCCCCAAGCAGAGCCACGGCGGCGGCCCCTACCGCGCATTCCTATCCCAGAGGTGCAAGAACGTGGGCGGCAAGGCCAACTGGGGCGGCAGCACGTCCGACGATTGCCGCCGAGACATGGCAGATCCTGTGAAACGGGAGGCGCTTATCGACGCTGGCAAGCGGGCGACCGAGCAAATGCGGATGGGGAACAAAAAGCCGTTCGGGCTCGGGAAGAGAGACATCGAGAGGCGAAGCTGGAAGTCCGCCCGCGATGCCCGGGCAAAGCGTGCGCTTGCCATGCGCGGCGCCAACCTGGAGCGCCAAGCCGTCGCCCAGAGCACGTCGTTGATGCCCCGTTCTGCCAGCGCCGAGTCGCCAGCATATTCGTGGAAAGCAGCGCTGGACTTGAAGGCCGTCTGCTTCGCCCAGACGGAGATGCAGCAGGAGTTGAGGGCTGCCGAGGTGCTCTCGTTGGCGGACTATGCTCGGGATGCTTGTTTGGGATCGCGTTCCTTGCAGGTTGGGGCCGTCTGCGAGCAGGAGGCCGACCGCCTGCCCATGCCGAACGGCTACCCGACCTGCTACGACCACGAGTGGACGCCGCCAGGCGCCATGACGAAGAGCATGCAGTTTTTGAACACCAGCGCCAGCAACGTCGCGGGGCAGACGAACCAGAACAGGTTGCTCGACACATGGACGAGATTGCACAATGCACGCGGTGGCCCCCGTCGACCAGAGATCATTGAGGCCGCGAGACAGCTGGGCGACGCGAAGAAGAACCGCCGCTGCAAGTTTCTGGGCTGTTGCGCGTGCAACGTGCGGGCGTGGGGGGGGGGGGCTCGCGTGGGCAAGGTCGCCGCGCAATTCAAAGCAGCTCTTCGCGCATCCACTGCGGCATCAGCCGGGTTCAAACAGAAGATGTTGGACGGGGGCGTCGTCGTCGCATTCATTAGCAGGTGCGTCGGCCCAGATGGCGGATTCACGGAGGACGTCGACGATTCGGCTACCGTTGCGTGGGCCCACGTCGGTTGGCAGCGGCAGAAGCTCTGGGGGTCTCTTTTCCCTTAGTTTGAGGCCCCGCGGGGCGATGCATCTCCGATTTTCGCTTCGGTGTTCAAGGCCTCGCAGGGTTACGAGCTTCTTAGGCGGATCTGGCACTGTGAAGTTTTTCTCGGAGCTGAGCCTTGATGAGCGTTGGGGCGTGAGCTTTTGGGAATTGCGGCGCTCGCATGGTCTGCTCGGGAGTTTCGTCCCGGACGTGGCCGCGTGCGATCCCGTCATGCCCGTTAGCCCCACTCACTTGTTGTGGATGCCTCGGCGCGGAAGAAGAGAGGCTGGGGCATCGATCTGTCGAAGCACGACGGCAGCGAGGATGGCGTTGGCACGGCCGTCGACGACGAGCTCGACGTGGACCGCGCCGATGGCCCAGGATTTGACGTTGCTGCCGCCGGCGCGGTGGGGGATCCCATCGACTTGCCGCCCGGACCTGCAGCGGATCACGTGGGCGTGGACTGCGATGCCATCGATGAGGCTGGCACTGAGTAAGAGCACGAAATGGATGTCATCTTTGGGGAAGGCGCTGGGTCGCTTCAGCCTGATGCAGCAGATGACGTCGGCCTTGACGGCGGGGCCGCGCCGCCCCCGCCGCCGCCGCTCGCGGCGGCCGCCCCAGATGACGACGACGGCGGGATATATGATCCAGAGTACCCAGATTCGGACCCTGAAGTGAACGTTGCCAGGGTGAAATCCGGCATCCATTCTTCAGTATATAACAAAAAAGCGATTTGTTACGCCGAGTGCGGCAGGAGGGAGTGTCACTGTAATAAGTGTAGGAAAAAAACGAATTGCCAATCTTGGGGCCGAGCATTCTCTTGAAGGGAGGCCGCTGGGCTTCTTGTTAGCTTGGGCTTTGCTGTGCGGTGGGACTGACGTCGCAGATCTTCACGCGTGGACGAAGGCCCCCACGCTGGCGCAGCGTAGGGCTGCTCGGCGATATCTTTTGCCGCGCAAGGGCGAGCGGGATGTAAATGCTTCGAACGCAAGGGGTGGCCTGGAGAGGCCGCGGGGCCAGCGCTGGAGCCTTGAGAACAACGGGGCTCCAGCACGGCACATGGCCGCCCCTTGCCCCGCTGCGAATAGTCTCTCCGCCCTTGCGTTTTCCCTCCCAACGCGCTCGGATCGACGTGGGGCCTCTGGGGCCCAGCCGCCTCTCTGAATAATATGCGTTGCGCTTGGGCGCAGTTGGGGATGCGTTGTCACGCCCCGACCCCCCCTGAAGGTTTCGCACGACCCCACTGAAGGTTCCCATCGTTATTCCTCCACCCCGCCTTTTGACCTGATATGTACTGTTCGCAACAGCTTCGCTCGTGATCCGCCGAGGGGTGCGCTGTGAAATGGTCTAACCCAACGCGGGCTGAACCAAAATGGCTACGGGCGGAGGCGGGCGAGGCGGCGCCGGCGACGACGGCAGTATAGCAGAGCATGGGCAGGTGCGGGGCTGCGGAGGCCGTGCGGAGCACAAGTATGATAACGAGTGGAAGAAGAGTAGGCGACCAAGATGGCGGCGTCGACGAAAAGAAGAG